TTTTCGAGACAGGGTTTCTCTGTGGTTTTGGAGCCTGTCCTGGAACTAGCTCTTGTAGACCAGGCTGGTCTCGAACTCACAGAGATCCGCCTGCCTCTACCTCCCGAGTGCTGGGATTAAAGGCGTGCGCCACCACCGCCTGACTCTTTGTTGTTTTTAATACTTATTTCTTTTTATGGAGCTGAAGAGATGGCTTGGTAGTTAGAAGTTCAGAGGACCCATGTTTGATTCTGATTCCCAGCACTCATGTGTAAGGGTGTTTCACCTGCATGTATATATGTGCACCAAGCATGTGCCTGGTGCCCAGAGAGGCCAGAGGTTTTGGATCCACTGGGACTGGCGTTATAGACAGCTGTGAACTGACTTGTGGGTACTGGTCAGAATCAAACCCGAGTCTTTTAGAAGAACCAGCCAATACTCTTAATTGCTGAGCCATCTATCCAGCTTGGCTACTTGGGTTTTTGTTTGTTTGTTTTAATGTTTGTCTTTATCTTTTGTGCGTTGGTGTTTAGTCTGCATGTATGTCTGTGTAAGGATGTTGGATCCCCTGAAACTGAAATTACAGACAGTTGTGAACTGCCATGTTGGTGCTGGGAATTGAACCTGGGTCCCCTGGAGAATCAGCCAGTGATCCTAAGTGAGCCATCTCTCCAGCCCAGCTGTTTGTTTTTTAATCTACCACTGGTAGTACTTCTGGAGAGCTTTTAAATGTCACCAATAACTAATATTACACCTAACAAGACTTTAAATATCTTCCCTTTAACCACCATTTGGCCTTTTGGTTCTTGGATTCAGAAGTACCGTCCTTTCTTACTCTTTATTTCCTTCATGATAACAATATTAATAATACTAAATTATCATTCTCTGTCTTAGAGTTTCTGTTGCTGTGATGAAACACTATGACCGACAACAAGCAGAGGAGAAAAGGGTTTATTTGACTTACATGTCTACATCATTGAATGAAGTCAGGATAGGAATTTAAATAGGCAGGAACCTGGAGGCAGGAGCCAATGCAGAGGCCTTCAAGGGATACTTCTTACTGACTTGTTCATCATTGCTTGCTCAGCCTACTTTCTTATAGAACCCAGGATCCCACAATGTGCTGGGTCTTCCCCCATCAATCACTAATTAAGAAAATGCTCCACAGGCTTGCCTACAGCTGATCTTATGGAGGCCTTTTCTTTTCTTTTTTTTTTTTTTTTTTTTTTTGAGACAGGGTTTCTCTGTGGTTTTGGAGCCTATCCTGGAACTAGCTTTTGTAGACCAGGCTGGTCTCGAACTCACAGAGATCCCTTTTCTTTTTTTTAAAGATTTATTTATTATGTGTACAGCATTTCTTCCATGTGTACCTGCATGCCAGAAGAGGGTGCCAGATCTCATTATAGATGGCTGTGAACCACCATGTGGTTGCTGGGAATTTAACTCAGGACCTCTGGAAGAGCAGTCAGTGCTCTTAACCACTGAGCCATCTCTCCAGCCCGGAGGCCTTTTCTTAACTGAGGTTCCTCTCAGATATTTTATTTTTGTCATCGCACAAGTTGACATAAGTCTAGCAAGCACATCCATCTTTTTCTTCTCTCTTCCTCCCCTTTGTTTTTGCTTTATTATTTATTCACTTATTATTTTAGAGAGGATTTCAGGTACCTTGGCCTGGTCTCCAAAAACTCGATACATTGCTGGGAATCATGGGATACATCTGTAGTCCCAGCATTTGGAAGGCAGAGGCAGAAGGATAAGCACAAATTTAAGTCCAGTCCGTTCTAGGCCAGCAAGGGCTAAAGACCAAAAGACCTGTCTCAAAAACAAATAAGAAGGGTCTGGAGAGATGGCTCAGTGGTTAAGAGCACTGACTGCTCTTCCAGAGGTCCTTAGTTCAATTCCCAGCACCCACATGGCAGCTCACAACTGTCTGAAGATCCAGTTCCAGGGGATCTGACACTTCACGCCAATACACATAAAGCAAAAGTTAAATAAAACATAAAAAGAAAACAAATAAGAACCCCTAAGTAGGCAGAATGACCTTACCCTCTGCTTCTACGTCTTTTGTGCTAGCATTGCAGGTAGACATGCCCCACCATGGCTAACATTTTTTTAGTGCTCTCTCTGTCTCGTGTGTGTGTGTGTGTGTGTGTGTGTGTGTGATCAGTTTGGGTGATAGGACTGCATGAGCCTGTGTATAGGTATGGAAACCAAGGGAGGTATCAGTGTCCCTCAACACCTCATTCCGTTGACCAGAATCTCTCCTTGAACTTGGAATATGAATTTTTGGGCGAGGCTGGCAGCCAACAAGTTCCAGTGACTCTTGTCTCTGCCCCAACAGTCCTGGGGTTACAGGCAATCACACAACCATGCTCAACTTATTCTGTCCTTGCAGGAATCAGGTCCTCATGGTCATGCAGCACTTTCTCCTAACCACTGGGCCACACCTCCAACCTCCTTGCCCACTTTCCATTTGACAGGTGCTCACTCTGGTGCTCACTCTGGCCTTTCACTATCCACCCTCCAGAGCTATTGAATTAGAGGTGCACATAGCCATGCCGTGTCACTCTTACCAGTGGACATTCTTAGGAAGTCTATATATACACATATGTGGATACACACACATTCTTTATCCTGAAGTCTGTGACCGCCATCACTTAACCAGCCGTGTCCTCTGAGCATCAAAACACAGTGGAAGCAACAACTGCTGCAGATTTTCCCCTATTGCTTCAGGTTCCTTTTTATTTATTTTTTAACGCATGACCCTTGCCTTCACTGGCCCTGTCCTATGCTGCTATAATTATCTCACTCGGTTTTGCTGCCCCAGTCTCTCTCCATACAAACTGATTCAATTAAGATAGATTTTTCAAAAGAAATCCTATCACGTCACTGTTGTGTCTGAAGTTCTTCCCCGGGGCCTCATCACCTCCTAAGAGAAGAGGTTGCTCCTGTACTGCTCCAACCTCCTTGCCCTCCATTCTGCCGTAGGTCTTTGGGGACCAGCCAGTGCTCAGCTCCCTTCCTTATCCTCCCCTCCCTACCTCATGTATTTGTTCCCATTGACCCCATTTGAGGCCCTTCCCCTTAGTGATTGCAGAGTCTTTGGTCTCCTACTTCTTGGTTACTTCTCTGGTTGTTTTCTAGGTCCTTCCTTATCTGTCTGTACTCTGAACCCTAGAAGGGAAAGGGCTCCATCTCTGAGCATTTTCATCTAACTTCACTGATTAATACCAAATTTAGCCATTAGCCCAAGTCTATCTTCAGAATCCTGGATCAAGGGATAGATCTATTAATAGACATCTTAAACTAATTATGTCTAAAATGTCCTTTACCATATTATAATCTGCTTCTGCCCTGCCCCTTCCTTAACCCCGAGTTGCTCAGGACAAAAAAAAAAAAAAAAAAAAAAAAAAAAAAAAAAAAAAAAAAAAAAAAAAAAAAAAAAAAAAAANAAAAAAAACAAAAAAAAAACAAACAAACAAACAAAAAAAAACAAGCGTTAGCATTACTCCATAACCCTCTCCCACAAACCTTTTTTTTTTTTTTTTTAAAAAGATCTATTTATTCATTTTTTAATTTTATGTGTCTGGGTATTTGCTTCCATGTATGTCTGTGTACCTGTGTACCTGGTGCCCACAGAGTCTGAGAGAGGGTACCGGATCTCCTGGAACTGTAGTTTTAGACAGTTGTATGGTGCCCCTAGGATGGTGGGAACCGAACCTGGGTTCTCTGAAAGAGCAGCTGATTCCCCAAACCGCTCCTACGCAGGGCGCATCCATTCACTCACTACCTGGTCCTTTGGGCTTTCCTTTAGAACATAGTCACAGTCTGACCACTCCTCATTGCTGTCTCTGCCTAGGTCCTGGTCCAGGCCAACATCTCTACCTGTAACTTTTAACCTCCTCAAGCCTCTTGTTTTTCTCCTTGCTATTTTCACCAGCAGTTAACAGGGATTCTGTTTGATTTTGTTTTAAAATTTTATCTGCTTAAAACTTCCCAGAAGAGATCGATGTAACACACAAAGTTCCTTCTGATAAGTCTTCATTTCTTTTCCATCCTCATCAGATCCTCTCTCTCTCTCTTTCTCTCTCTGTGGTCTCTCAGACTGGGCAGTACAGGCCATCGCAGAGTTTTTGCATTTTCTTTAACTTCTGCCAGTAAGGTCCTTCATCCTTTGCCCAGTATTTGTGGACAGGACTTATTTCCTTACCTCAGATCTCAATCCTTTACTTTTCCAATGAGATCTTCTCTTGTTTAACTAATTGGAATTATAAATTATTTGACCCGCACACTTTCTTTCCCAGATTTGTTGTCCTACAGAACAATTTTTTACTATAAGATGTACAATGCATTTTCCTCTTATCTTTGTCATGTTTTATCAAACTCTTTTTTTTTAATTTGATTTTATTTTATGTGTGTTGTTGTTTTGCCTGCAAATATGTCTATGCGAGAGTAGCTGCTCTGGAACAGGAGTTACAGACAGTTGTGAGCTGCCATATGGGTGCTGGGAATTGAACCCGGATCTTCTGGAAGAGTCATTAGTGCTCAAGCACAAAGCCATTTCTCCAGTCCCAGGTTTATCAGACTCTTAAAGACAGGGACCTACGAGCTGTGCTTCTGCCGTTGTTCAGCACCTAAAAAAGAGTGGCTGGCACGTAAAAGGGTGTATGCGACCTCGGTGGAGAGCACGGAGACACAGGATCACAGAGGACCAGAGGAAAAAAGCATTCAAGCCCAAGAAGGCTTCCTGGAGGAGTAAGTCCAAGGCAGACAATCCCAAACCCCTCCCTTACAGCATTAGAGAAAGCCACGCCCACTAAGCAGGAGCTGCGGCCGGAAGTAGACTCCGGGCGGAAGCCAGACTAGGCCGACTGGGCCCTCCTTCTGACGGGCCCAAGACCCCGCCCACCCTAATGTAGGCGAAAGGTCGGCGGAACCTGTCGTGTAGCCTGGGCAGCCGAGCAAGACCTAGACCGCCCCGAGCTGCCAGGCAGACAGAGAAGACTGACCATGGCAGAAGCGCCGAAGCCCATCAGTCCGCTTAAGAACCTCCTGGCCGGCGGCTTTGGCGGCGTGTGCCTGGTGTTTGTGGGGCACCCCCTGGACACGGTCAAGGTGCGCGGTGTCTAGATTGGGGGCTTGTGGGCGGGGGAAGGCCCGAGGCGACGCGGAAAGTGGGGTCCCCCTGAGATGCTGCCTCAGGATAGGAGTGGGGCGGGTAGATGCTTCCCAGTGAAGTTTACGGAGGGTTGGTATGTAGTCGGTAAGTAGAGCGCTGTCTACCTAAAAGGGCGAAAGACTTTGCATTCAACTCCCCCAGCACCTCAAAAAGAAAAATAATTCTCGAGAATCATTCTAAAGAGAAGGCAGAGGCTGCCCCTCGCGCCCCGAGAGCCAGACAGCTCCTATTGCAAGGTCTTCGTTTGACAGTCTTCTCTGGCTCTACACTATTTCTTTGGAGAGGAAAAAAAAAAAAAAAAAAACTTCTCAAACTCTATTTCCAGTTAACCCTAATATTTTGTTATAAAGACTGAAACAGGATCCCTGTAAACCCAGCCTCCCCCCAAAACAAAGGACAAAGGTGGCAAAAGACGTCCTTTGACACAGTCCCGTGAAGCCAGTGTATCTCATAGCCTTCTCTTGTGCAGTTTTCTTTGCCCGAAGAGGCAATTGGCCATTTTCAGTCACTCACTCACTGCAGGGTAAGCGTCATTAACCTATTGCATAGTGACTCCTATAGGAAGCAATGGTGGACCCGGTGACCAGCCAGTCTCAGGCGAGGCAGTCATAGGTACAACTCACTAGAACTTACTTGTTCCTGGACCTTTGTCTCCTCACCCCTCCATTTTTCCCCTTGCTGCACTCAGGAAGATCTGGCTGAAGACAAGGCGATAGATATCCTGTGACTTAGCGCCTGGAACCTCCTCCTCATTATCACTATTGTAAAACCTGAAGGAAAATGATAGGTCACAGCCAGGATGGACCTGTGGGGAGAAGATAGGAGTCTTGTGTTGCTGGGGTGTGGAACCCTGAGAAGACAGAAGTTTCGTAAGATAGTAACCTATGTTGATGGCTTGTTAGGGCATCAGGTCCAGTTTCTTCAGAAAGAAAATAGTATCCTGTTGGCAGGCTTAGACAGCAGGCTATCTGATGGCTTCTGTTCAAGAATGAAGCTAACCAAAGACAGAGCTCATTCTAGGGCATTCTCTAGTATTCTGCAGTGCAAAATCAGGTCTTGGCGGGCAGCAAGGACTCTGCTTGTCAGTGCTTCCAAGGCAGGGGTTCATCCAAGGACCTCTATTTGTATGGCCTTTATTCCTAATACTCTTGTACAGAGGCAGAAAGCTTGTTCTGCACAGCTGAGACTTTTAAGAAAACAATATCGTTATTGTTTCCTTATATAAATTTTGCTCCTATCTTGTATCCTCTTGTTCTTGATGTTCCCCAGCAAGGGCCCCGTGACCTTTGTTCTGAATTATAAATGACAGAAAATGCTCACTGGCGCGTTGACATCAGAAGACTTTTCCTTTTACTGTGAACCAAAACCACAGACTGCTGCCTGCTGTCCTTTTGACCTCAGAGAGCTAGGTGGTCACCAACTAAACCCTGATGCTCTTGTGATTGGGTTTTTGTTTTGTTCTGTTTTTGAGGCAAGGTCTCACTAGTCTATGCTGGCCTCAAACTATTATGTAGCAGAAGATGACCTTGAATTTCTGATTCTTTTATCCCCCAAATACTTGAAGGATCTTTGAGAGTTTCAAAGCAACCGAGTCATGGCCTGCATGTCCTAATAACTGAGAATTGGCACACTTCAAAACTGGGGCTTGGAAAATTTTTATGGAAGGTAGGGTTGGAATAGGCATTGAAAAACTGGATAATTTTTAATCTGAGCACTTGGGATGCAGAGGCAGACAGATCTCTGTGAGTTCCAGGAGGCCATCCTGGTCTACAAAGCGAGCTCCAGGACAGCTGTACACAGATAAACCCTGTCTCCCCCCCCCCCAAAAAAAAAAAGAAGAGAAGGAAGGAATTGCTGTGTAATCTGGCATGGGGAGGTAGGTGATTTAGGTCTTAGAACACTGGTGACTAGCAGTTTGTAAAGGACATAGATTTACTTATTTGTTTGTTTGTTTGATTTTTTGAGACAGGGTTTCTCTGTAGCTTTGGAGGCTGTCCTGGAACTAGCTCTTGTAGACCCGGCTGGCCTAGAACTCACAGAGATCCGCCTGTCTCTGACTCCCAATTTCTTACAGTTCTGGAGGCCAGGAGTGCCAAGATGCACAGGTCTACATCTGTGCAAGGCTGTTTGTGCTGCATCACCCCACGGTGGAAGATGGAAGGGCAAGAGATCAAAGTCAAGACTTAAATCTTTTTTCAGCTGTCTTTAATCCATTCATGAATACCCTCCATTAGGTCTCACCTCCCAACATTGTTACTGCATTTTGGGGTTAAGTTCCCATGCGTAGTTTGGAGCAGGAGTGAAGGCAAGTATGAGCTTGGCAATGGGTTTAGGATATGGTGTCAACTGAGGACGTCTTTAGGTTCTCACTGGTTGGGATGTCTGATGTCACAGTGAGATAAATAGAGGGAACGTTTAAAAAAAAACGTTGTTGTGGTGGTGGAGATGTAGCTCAGTTGATAGAGTACTTGCCTACCATGCATGAAACCTTTAGGGTTTGTTTGTTTATTATTTACAAGACAAGGTTTCTCTGTATCTTTGGACCCTGTCCTGGCACTTGCTCTGTAGCCCAGGCTGGCCTCGAACTCACAAAGATCTGCCTGCCTCTGCCTCTCAAGTGCTGGGATTAAAGGCGTGTGCTACCACCACACCCACCTTGAAACCTTTAGTTTTGATACCCAACACCATGTAAAACCTAAGCAGGGCTGGGCAGTGGTGGTGCAGGCCTTTAATCCCAGCTTGTAAGGTCCTAACACATGCAACAATAAAGGTTTATAAGGAAGTAGAGGAAGAACATCATGAAAATGAGGCTTTGGAGAGGTTGGTGTGAGGACAGCCTTGAGAAGTATTCGGAGAACAGTTAGCAGGAAAATCATCCTGGAAAAAGACCAAGTAGTATTGCCTGTTTCTATTTCTATTACAGTATAAATCTTTACCCTAAGCCCAAGGGAGCTAAAGACTCAGTAATGCTCACAATCCTTGTAAGTTGTATTTGGGGGAGCACTTTGGGTGGGTGACCTATCTCATTCTTTTTCTTTTTGAGATAGTCTTGTAGCCCAGTCTGTCCTTAGACTCATTATATACCCAAAGATGACCTTGAACTCCTGGTTCTCCTTTACCTCCTAAGCACTCCGGGCACTCCTAAGCACGCCCAGCTTGGCCTGGTCTTGTTTTTTTTTTTTTGTGAAATAGTTAAGAAGATCCCTAATGGTTTGGGGATTTGGCGTAGTCACTGATAGAGTGTTTGCTTAGCATGCCTGAAGCCCTGGGTTCAGTCCCCAGTGTGACATAAAACCAAGTATGGTGCTGATGAATGTATATATATAAAATTTTGTATCTAATGAAATATTTGACAATAAAAATAATGCAATTGTTATGGGGGTCTGTGGAGGAAGTAAGAGGATGATGGATTATATGCATAAGAAACATTTTATACATGTCTGAAATTGTCAAAGAATAAATATAAAAAGTACTTGCAAAAGAATGAGATGCTGGAGAAATGGTTTAGCTTAAGAGCACTTACTACTCTTGCATAGGACCCTGTTTCCAATCCCAGCATCCACATAGCATTTCACAACTATCTGTAACTAGTTCCTGATGTCCTGGCAGACTCTATGTGGTGTACTTAATATGGTCAGGAAAAACACTCATACAGAAAGCAAAACACACACACACACACACACACACACACACTTTTAAGGAATGAGAAACCTGGTCTCTCAAAAACCCTAAATAAATAAATAAATAGAACGAGTACTAATAGTGAAGTCTGAATCTACCTATCAGGTTAAGAAAATGCTGAAGATGTCTACAAAGGTGAGCATTTCCTGTTTAAATGAAGTCAAAGGGTTGAGGATATAGCTCTGTGGGAAAGTCGCGTATACAGAGTTCTAGGTACAATCTCCAGCTCTGTAAAGGAGGAGGAAGATGTAGGGAGAGAAAAAGAGGAAAGTGGGATCGTTGCTGGTAATTCTGGAAGGTAACTATTTTGGTTTCTGGTTTCAGGTCCGACTGCAGACACAACCACCAAGTTTGCCTGGACAGCCACCTATGTACTCCGGGACCATCGACTGTTTCCGGAAGACTCTTATTAGAGAGGTGTGCTTCAGGTGCTGGGTGTGGGCGTCCCTTCCTCAAAGGACTGTTTTTAGGGGTCAACACTACTCCCTGGGGGAAGAGGACAGCTGTGGGCTTCTGCTGGCCACAGCTCTAGCTCACTAACATATCCGCCTCATTGGCTATGGAGCCTGATAATTCCAGCTACTATGTATATAGATAAATGAAGCCAATAAAATGTTTCGCCCTTCTGGGAGATGTAAGTAGAGAATGGATCATTAGCAAGGCATAATTGAAGTTTGAATTGAGGAAAAATTCACATCCTGCTATGTGGTGGCACATACCTATAATCCAGCACTGGGAAAGCTAGGATAGGAAGATCTGAGTGCAGGGTTAGCCTGGCCTACGTGGAGAGCTCCTGTACCAAAACCAATAAAGGATTAGCGAAATGGTTCAGTAGTTGAGAACACTTATTGTTCTTGCAGAGGACCCAGGTTTGGTACCCAGCACCCATATGGAGGCTGAAAACCATAACTCCAGTTCCAGGGGACCCAATACCCTTTTCTGACTTCTGAGGGCACCAGGCACACACATGTGCACATACATGTATTCAGGCAAAACACTCATAAAATAAATAACTGAAAACAATAACAAAAAAAACTGAAAAAGAAGTATGTGAGGTAAAAAAAAAAAAAGAGAGGGAGAGACCAACAGAAATTCCACGCTCCGAGAGAAGAGCATTTAGTTGTGTTAGGGTTATTTGATTGTATAAATTTTTAATAGAATGTGATTTTTTTCCCCTTTGGTTTTTTGAGATATGGTTTCTCTGTGTAGCTCTGACTGTCCTGGAACTCACTTTGTAGACCAGGATGGCCTCAAACTCACAGAGAACTGCTTTCCTCTGCCTCCTGAGTGCTAGGATTAAAGGGGTGCACCACCACCACCTGGCAATAGAATGCAATTTTTAAAATATTATTTATGAATATGGGTGTTCACATGTATGTCTGGTGCCTGCGGAGGTCAGAAAGTGGAATGAGGTCTTGTGGGAACTGGAGTTCGGCAAGAGCAGCAAGTGCTCTAAAACACTGAACCATCTCTCTGGTCCCTTTCTTCTTCTTTTGATGTTTTGAGATGATGTCTCCTACTGCATCCCATGCTACACTTGAACTCCCATTCATCCTTCTGCCTCACTCTCCCAAGTGCTAAGATTACACTTACACTAAAATACAACTTGCACATGTTTATCTGCCAACATAGGAACTGAAAAGTGTCACCTCAAAGTCTAAAGGTGCCGGGAAGGGATGGTTCATCCTTGGTGTATCCGTGTCCGAGATTCCTGCAGGTCTCACCGTGGGAGGAAGGTGCTGAGCCAGCCTTGAGCTCTCTCACCCAGCCTCAGCTGGGTCTGTGTTTCTTCTTTAGGGCCTTCTTCCTTATCTGTCTGATAATCAGAGTAGAGGCTGAGCAGTGTCTCCAGGAGGCTCTAAACCTCAGTTCTACCCAGAGGTCTCTGCCCTTAAGGAAGAGAGCCAAGTCTACATACTTCTTGGTCAGCAATTTTTTTTTTTGGCTGTATCCTGTGTGTGTGTGTGTGGGATGGGCCTATGTAAATCTGACTCCTAAGTCTCATATATATTCACTTCTGATTTCCTGGGAGGCTGAGGCAGGAGGATCACCAGAATTGAGTTGGAATTCAGCTTGGGAAATAAAGCAAGAAAACAAAAACCAGAAAGAAAACAACAAAGATCTAACTCCTGCAGACTTTAGTAGGCTTCATTAGTCCATATTTGTTCTCCCTATTTTTCAATGTAGCAGACTTAGCTCTGTCTTCTGGAGCCGCCAGACATGAGTTGTACTCCATGAAACTGGCAGACCACTGGAAGGGAGATTAGGTGGGTTGTCAGGAGGCTTGTGGGGCCCTGAGGAACTGGGTATCCTTCTCGTCCTAGTGCAGAGCTGCGGGAGAGGCTTTTACGGGACTCTGTCACGCCCTGCTGTTGTGCCTTCCTCCCAGATCTCTGCTGCCCCTGTTATTGCCTCTGTACTTTGCCCATGGTGCATGCACCTGCAGCCTGTAGCAGTGCCAGGCTTTTGTGGGATCAGGCAGAGTCTTAATAGGTGCCCCTTAATGTGCCCTTTGGTTCTAGAAAAATGTACAGCCTGCCTGGTCTGTATCAATCTTAACTCTTATTTTTAGTATTTGTTTTAAAAATATTTTATTTTTCATTAAAGTTATATGGGCACTTAATTTTTCCCTGAAAGGCAGAGCAGCCAAGTTATCCATGTTCCTTCCTCGTGCTCCAGAGGCTCTCAGCTCCTTCAGTTGTTTGCACTGCTTCTGCCTATCTGCATAGTACATTTGCTGACACATTTTTATATGTTTATGTATCTAACATGTTCGCCTGCGTTAGCCTCCTTGTTCTGGTAGGTTCCTATTCTTGCTTTTTTTTTTCTTTTTGTTTTTTCTTTTTCGGGTTTTTGGAGACAGGGTTTCTCTGTAACTTTGAAGCCTGTCCTGGAACTAGCTCTTATAGACCAGGCTGGTCTCGAACTCACAGAGATCCGCCTGCCTCTGCCTCCTGAGTGCTGGGATTAAAGGCGTGCGCCACCACCTCCCGGCCACCTGGCCTATTCTTGCTTTTTTGCTCTGCATATCCACATAATTTTTATCACATTTTTGTGACTTAATCCATTTCAGTTTTACTTTGTTTTGAGGTGCCAGGGATTAAATCCAAGTTTTATACATGCTAAATACTCTGAGCTACATTTCCACCCTGCAATTTATTATTTTTGGGATTATGACTATGTTTTATCCTTTTTTTTTTCTTATCCTATTTGTATGAGTGTTTTGCCTGCATGCTTGCATGCCTACCATGTTTGCCTGGTGCAACAGAGGTCAGAAAAAACTCTTAATTGACGAACCATCTTTCCAAGCTTACTCCACATCACGCCAAGTCCTTTAAAAATATTTTTTATTGGCCAGGTGTGTTAGCACAGGACTTTAATACCAGCATTATGGGAAGTAGGAGCATAATCTCTTTGAACTCAAAGCTGCCTTGATCTACATAAGGAGTTCCAGACCAGCCAGGGGTACAGAATGTGACTCTGTCTCGGGGGTTGGGGGGGGGGAGCTGAGATAAGATTTCAATACATTTCCCAGAATGGTCTAAACTCAAACTGTAATGTGCTACATCTTTAGTCCCAGCGTTTAGGAGGCAGAGGCAGAGGCAGGTAGTTCTCTTGTGAGTTCAAGGCCAGCCTGGGTTACATAGCAAGCTCTAGGACAGCCAGGCCTATCTAAAGAGACCCTGTCTCAAAAATAAATAAATAAAATGAAATAAATGAATAAAAAAGAAAGGAAGGAAAAGAGTGCTGCCTGGGACTGACACCTAAGGGTGACTTCTGAGCCGTGCATGCCCTCGTGCACAGGCACACACATGTACACCTAAACATGCATATATAAACACACAAATTGGGGGGTAAATCTCTCTGTGCTTCAAAAGGTGAAGATGAAAGTCACAGGGGAGAGGAGACATGGCTTCCCTATTTCAGACACGGTAGTGGTTTGCGGGTACAGCTTAGAGGTGAGCCCTTGCTAGGCCCTTGGTTTGATTCCCAGCACTGACATAGAGTGGAAATATCTGAAAGCAGATTCTGTTGCTGCGATTCCTTGCAGGGCATCACAGGGCTATATCGGGGCATGGCTGCACCCATCATTGGAGTCACCCCTATGTTTGCTGTGTGCTTCTTTGGGTTTGGTTTGGGGAAGAAACTACAGCAGAAATCTCCAGAGGATACGCTAAGGTAAGTATTCTCAGGCAGCACTCAGTGCTGTTCTTCTTGGTGGTGTGATATGTATTGAGGAAATGTCTTGACAGTTAGACTGTCCTCTGGCTCCAGGACTGACTTGTGGGCACTCAGAGTGAAGGAAATACCCGAGTTTCCTTTGTTCTAAGAAATGAAAGGGCCAACAAAGAAAAGAGACTTTCCTTGCCTATTTGCTAAGTTATCATTAACTTTTCTTTTGTTTTTGAGACAGGGTTTCTCCATGTAGTTTTAGAGCCTGTCCTCAAACTCGCTCTGTAAACTAGGCTGGCTTTGAACTCACAGACACCCCCCACCTCCCGAATGCTGGGATTAAAGGCATGCGCCACCACCACCTGGCCATCATCAATTCTTATATGAAGGGGCGTGGTCGATGGGTATTTAGAATTAACCAGACCAGTTTAATATAATAGATTTAGTTTTTAATAATTGGGGAAAAGGGAAAACTTACACGCCCAAAGGTCCTGCCTGTGAACAACAGGAGCGCAGGGCGCAGAAGAGAGAGAAGCAAGGGCACCTGGGTATTTTATCTGTTTTCTGTGGCCGCAGGGGGACACACCGTAAACAGCAGGTGATTGGCTGGAGTTCCCCATCACCTCTACCTATTGTTCCCTCAGATTGCAGCTGCTTACCATTATTCCTGGTTTTATACAGTGCAGTACAGTGCAGAGGATTGAACCCATGGCTTTGTACATGCAGACATTGTCCCAACTGAGATATTTTTCCAGTCCTTGTTGTATATTCTTTTTTTTTAAAAGATTATTTATTTATTATGTATACAATATTCTGCGTCTATGTATGCCCGCAAGCCAGCAGAGGGCGCCAGATCTCATTACAGATGGTTGTGAGCCACCATGTGGTTGCTGGGAATTGAACTCAGGACCTTTGGAAGGACAGGCAATGCTCTTAACCACTGAGCCATCTCTCCAGCCCCCTTGTTGTATATTCTTCAAATTTAAAAAAATTTTATTTTGGGGGTTAGAGAAATGGCTCAGTGGTTAAGAGCTTTGCCTGCTCTTCCAAAGGTCCTGAGTTCAATTCCCAGTTAACCACATGGTGGCTCACAACCATCTGTAATGGGGTCTGGTGCCCTCTTCTGGCCTGCAGATATGCACACAGACAGAATATTGTATGCATAATAAATAAATAAAATATAAAAAAAATTATTTTGGACGGGCAGTGGTGGCCACACCTATAATCTCAGCATTTGGGAGGCAGAGGCAGGTGGATCTCTTTGGGTTCAAGGACAACCTGGTCTACAAGAGCTAGTTTCCTTCACTTTTCCTACCCATTTATCAAGCGATAAAAGTTGCATTTTTGTGATTATTACACTTATAGACTTTAATCTCTGCCTTTGTTTCTGCTCCACTCTAACTTTCTTTTGCTATCAACATATATAACTGAATATTCTTTCCTTTTCCTATGTTCATACAACTTATCATTCACAAATTTTTACTCCTGATTTAAATTTTATCCTGCTTCTCTACACTTTTTATTTTTGAGCATTCATACTTACATATTCACCTGTGGTGAATTTTTTTCTCATGGGTTTCTTATATTTTTCTCCATATGTCTGGTCATTTCTCTGGCATTTTTTAGGGGTTTGTAGATCTGCCCCATGATGGGCGCCATTTTGTTGCAATCCCGTGGCATAATTTATTTTTCTGGACCAGTGTGAAGGCGCGGGAATAAAGACACAACTCACATGGCTTTATCAGGAGGGAGATTCTCAGTGATCCCTCATGAAATCCTGAGTTCACTTCCTGAAAATTTCTCTGTTTATTCTCCAAGCAGCCTTATATACCAAAACATAAACTGAGGGGGGAATCATTAACATTCTGTTTCCTAGGTAACCAGACAAATGTCTCTGGTCACGTCCACATCTACTTATGCCTGCTGTCACATCTTCCTGCTCTGTATGCTAGCTCAGTCACATAGGCTGAATTAGCATCTCTATCCTAGGCATCCTCCAAACTACAAAGGGGGAGCAGAGCAACATCCTGACCTCTTGTTAGGGTAGCAACAGGCTGTCTGGAAGGCTACCTCAGGTGTGAACCATGGCTTGAGAGCCTGGCTGCCGTACCATATAGAAATATGGGCCTACAACTACAGAGAAACCCTATGTCAAAAAACAAAACAAAAAATTTATTTTGTTATTTTATGTGTATGGGTGTTTTGCCTGCATGTATGTCTGTGTACCACATAGGTGCAGTGCTTGAGAAGGGCAGAAGAAGGTGGCAGATCACCTGATAATGATGCTTCAGACTGTTATGAGCTGCCTTGTGGGTACTGGGAATCCAATTAGGTCCTCCGAAAGATCAGCCAGTGTTCTTAACTACTGAGCCTTCTCTCCAGCCCTGTAACACCTTTTAGTAAATGTTTAGAGTTAGTTTGGGTATAAAAAGACAATTGAACTGGGTAGTGGTGGCGCATATCTTTACTCCCAGCACTCAGGAGGCAGAGGTAGGTGAATTTCTATGAGTTCAAGGCTAGCCTGGTCTACAGAGTGAGTTTCAGGATAGCCAGAGCTACAAAGAGAAACCCTGTCTCAGAGACAAAAAAAGACAATGGAGTCTCTTTTTTTATACCTCTATTATACCTCAACAATAAAAAGCAATTAATGTACAAGCTTCTCAGAATTCAGGGGAATTTTGAGTGAAACTTTTTTTTTTTTTTTTTTGTGACAGGGTTTTTTTCTGTGTATCCCTGGCCATCCCGGAACTCTCTCTGTAGACCAGGCTGGCCTCAGACTCACAGAGATCCACCTGCCTCTCCCTCTTGAGTGCTGGGATTAAATTAAAGGCATGCGCCACCACTGCCTGGCTGAAGGTTAGTTTTAAATGTGATTTTTGTGGGGCTGGAGAGATGGCTCAGAGGTTAAGAGCATTGCCTGCTCTTCCAAAGGTCCTGAGTTCAATTCCCGGCAGCCACATGGTGGCTCACAACCATCTGTAATGAGGTCTGGTGCCTTCTCCTGGCCTGCAGACATACACACAGACAGACTATTGTATGCATAATAAATAAATAAATATTT